GCGGCCGGTCTGTATGTGGGATCCGAATCCTTGGCGGGAGCACCTCCGCGCTCCCAAGCGGTACATTGTAGCAGTGCACCACCGGGCCAGCCCCCAAGAACAATTTTAGAGTTGAGGAGAAAACCCAGGCGTTATTCATTAGGCAGTGTGTGTGGGATAGGCTCACATGTGTCCCTGCTCTCCCAGAACATAATCTGTTCAGGAGAGAAGTTCGTAAATATCTGGAGTTAAGGGGGAACTTGGTGAGTCAATGAAGGGTCATGAAAGTTGAGCCGAGGGTGGCTTGGTCCTTGAAAGATTTCATAGGCAGAGGTTGGGGCGAAGGCCAGGTAGATGGTATTCCAGGAAGAATAAGCAGCATAGGAACAAAGGGTGGTGACAGGAAGAAAAAACACAACTAAAAACAAAGGAGAAAACCAGGATGCACGTGAAAGTAACTCGGCTATACGCCACTCAGGTTGGTATTCGTTTCCTTAGATTAGGGTCCACTTTAAATGAGGGTTTCAGGTGGCCAGCGTCGAAGGTGAGGCAGTCTTCTTCCCGAGCCCACCTACTGCACTGTGATGAAACAGCCAGGGGTGTCTTGTTGTGTCATCATATGATTGTGCATCGCAGTGTAACGGACATGAGTATTGGTCTAGTAATAGAGGCTGCTTTGGCTCACATGTGCCTCAAGGGACTGGCAGAGTGTGACATGAGTTGGTCCCGCCTCTAAAGGAGGCGTTCTCAGCCTCTGCACTTGACAGTGGGCTGGTGGGGGAGGTGAGGTGGGCACAGAGGGAAGGGGTGTCCTGTGCATTAGCAGCCTCCTGGTCTGTACCCACTGGGTACCATCCCCTTCTGTGTGACAACCACAAATGTCTCCAGATGTTGCCAAATGCTTGGGGATGGGGACAAAAATTGTTCCCTACTGAGAACCCTTGCTGCAGAGGCTGTATTGGGCTTGGTGATTCCTTTGGGCAGTTATGAGGAATCACTTCTGTGAAAGAGGTGAAAGCCCTGATGAGGAACAACATGGCAGAACTAAGCACCCATCTTCAACCTGGTGCATAGATCCTCGGGCCCACACTGTCCGACTCACTGCTGCTTTTGTTCTGACTTGCCTCAAACCATTAACGAAACCACAGAATGGAGCTGAAGTTGTCTTACAAGCATGAAAACAAACTCAAACTTAAGGACTGAAAAGAGAGAAAGGGAATGAGACATGAGATTTCTTTTAGTCTGTTGTCTCAGTCTGTTTTTAAGTTGCTGTAACAGAATACCTGAGACTGGGAAATTTATAAAGAAAGGACATTTATTTGGCTCACAATTCGGGGGCAGCTGTATCTGGCTCGGAACTCAGGCAGCTTCTGCTCCTGCTTCTGGCAGGAGATCACATGGCAAGTGGAAGCAGGAGAGGGAGAGAGGGCAGGTGCAGGCTCCTGTTAACAGCCAGCTCGAATAGCCTCCCTCCACCCCACAACATTATTCCTGAGGGATCCACCCCCATGACCCAAACACCCCCCATTAGGCCCCATCTCCCAACACTGCCAACATGACAAACATAACCAAACTATACTATCTATCAAATATCTATCCACATTTATTTGTGTTACGTATTCAGAAGGTTTTAATTACTCAGAACTTTAAAATTATTATCTCTGGCCCTGGTGGATGATTTAGTGTTCATTTTCCCAGATGTGCCTTCTCCTTGTAAAGCAGCAAATGCTGTGGCTTCAGCATCGGCCACCTGTGGCCAGTGTGCCTGAGGGCAGTGAGTTTTGCAGAAGATCCTGCCTGGCCCTCCTCCCACCACTCCCCACAGGCTGGGTGTAGCCCCTCTTGACTAGTTGCCCCAGTTTCTGTGCCCCCTCTGGCCCCCACCATAAGCAGCAATATCAGTGTCCCAGAAAGGAACAGTTAAGGGAAAAAATACCAGGAGGGAAAAGGGGAGGGAGAGGAGAGGGGGCAGCAGCTGGCATTGCCATCGAGGAAAATAGCAGACCTCGGTGTTCCTGGGCGCCTAGAGTTGAATATGCAGAGACGTGGTAAGTCAAGCACCTTAAAAAGCAGCAAGGCCAAGAAAAGGGAAAAGTAAACCCAAACTATTTTGAAAGTGGGATGGCTGTACCATGATATTACACTTCGGTCACTCCAACACCCGGAACCTTCCACCTCCTTTGGCAACATTTCAGAGCCACTTGTGCCATTTGGTTGCTAAGAAATAGCATGTACACAGGGGAACCCCTCCAAGTGCCTGCTACTGTGCTAAGCCCTTTCTTACTCAGCGCTACTGGGAGCCCCAAGACAGGTTCTCTCATTATGCCTTCTTTGCAGACAGAGAAGCGAGGCACACGGGGAAGGTTAAGTCAAAGAGCTAAGGGGGAGAACCAGGATGCAAGCTTGGAATGTTGGACGTTACAGCTCCCCTTCCGAATACTGCTGTTTTTTGGGGTTGTTTAAGAAATGCACTTTTTGTGTATTGGTGAGCCTTCAGAGATGTCTGTTATTATTAGATATTTTTCAGCTTTGTCAAGAGGAGATCCACTTCCTGTAAAGGAAAGGATTGAGATGCCTGTGGCAACCCAGAAAACAGACACAGGCCTGACTCAAGGACTCCTTAAAGTTTTGCACAAGCAGGTATGACAGAGTTTTCATTAACAGTCAGCTGGCTTGTATTTTCTCCACCATTTACTGTACCTCTCAGAGCTTGAGGACAGAGCAGGGCCCACTCCATAAATGCACAGCAGAAACCATAAAGATTGTCCTGTAAGCCCTGCTTTCCCAGCCTCATGCCTTCAAGGTTTATTCAGTGAAGAAATATGTTGGATCAGTGGTCTTTCTCTAGTTTAAAGAATCCCAGGGCCGAGCCCATGGCGCACTTGGGAGAGTGCNTGGGCTCACCTCTCCCAACACCAGCGCCCCCTGCCCAGCACCAGCTCCCCCACTGCTGCTGTCTCTACCTCTGTGGGAAAGAGAGGAGCGGTGGGGTGACCGGCCTGCCCCCTTCCTGCAGGAGTTCTCGTTGTGGTCACATCAGACCCACGTGAGTCAACTGAAGCTGGTCCAACACCAGCGCCCCCTGCCCAGCACCAGCTCCCCCACTGCTGCTGTCTCTACCTCTGTGGAAAAGAGAGGAGCGGTGGGGTGACCGGCCTGCCCCCTTCCTGCAGGAGTTCTCGTTGTGGTCACATCAGACCCACGCGAGTCAACTGAAGCTGGCCGTGGTGGCCCTTCTGTCCCTTTCCTGAATAACATCCAGCTGAAGAATGACTCACTAAAGAGAGGAGCGGTGGGGTGACCGGCCTGCCCCCTTCCTGCAGGAGTTCTCGTTGTGGTCACATCAGACCCACGTGAGTCAACTGAAGCTGGTCGTGGTGGCCCTTCTGTCCCTTTCCTGAATAACATCCAGCTGAAGAATGACTCACTCTAGGGCTACCTGGGAGGACACTTGTGATTCAGGGCCTGCCCCCTCACCTGCAGCAAGCCCCAGAAGCATGTTTCAAATTAGAAAATTTATGAGGATCATAAAATAAGATAAAAAGGGTCTTAGGCTTTTTGAAAATGAAACGCTGGGTTGATCCCACTGCTGTAAGTCCAGTCTCCACCCTAACACACGACACACCTCAGGGAGTGTGGCCTCCTTTCTTCTTACTCTGCGTAAGCGGTTCATGTTGTTCATATTTTTATTTCCATGCTTGCTAAAAGGCATCCTCTGGGAGGTGCGAGGTGACTCTGTTCTTCTGAGGCTTTGCGTGTTATCATGAGAACAGCTACAATTCTGAAACTGAAAAATCCCACAGAATTGGTACTCCGAAAACTCTTGGCAAGTAGTAGGTGCCTCCCTGCCTGTGTTTTTCATGTCTCCACTTTAATTGAGGTTATGGATCAGGCATAAATACTTGGTTAAAGCAAAGCACAGCTTGCTAGTCACCTCTGCATCACATGCGTGAGAATAAACTGGCAACGGATAGGAGGCGGGGGAGTAGGGGCCGTGGGTATAGGGGTCGTCTGCTATGGAGGGGGCCCTTTGGCTGAGCAACTAACCGTGCTACCTACAACCCACTGGAATCAAGAAGAAATATGTGTATAAGAAACAGAACACTCAGAGCAAGATCAAGCAAGTTCCTTTATGAATACTAATGCATATAAAAATTGCTCCTGATCTTATTGTCAGGAACGTTGACATCGGTAATGTCATCACGCCTTTGCAGAGCAGTGATGCTAGAATATTTTGAAGTATTTTTCCTAAAATACCTCTTCCTCTGGAGCCTCCAAGCATCACATCACGCAGATCTCTCCGTCTGCTCCATCGATGCCAACTGCTCCCTTCCCCTGGCTCATCCAGTCCCACACATGCTGGTGACTTACTTCCATGTGTGTCGGATGTAAAAACAAATTCTAACATAACAATATGTCTTTGAAAAGTTTCAAGCAAGGAGCATGTAAAATACACAACTTTATTTTTAGCAAGTCCTCTCTCGAGGACAGTCTTTTAAAGGCATGGCTTGTGCCGTTGTCCTTGGAGAGATGCCTTCTGCTCCGCACAATGGGTGCAGCTGCTTTTCTAATTAGAGCATCCTTTTGTCCCTCAGAACTGCACAGACCTCATCCTGGTGCTGTCCATCTCAGCACGACATCCTCGCAGAGCCATCAACACCAGCCACAGTGGGAGGTGGGCTTCCAGGGTGAAGTGGAAGGAAATGCCCCATCAGTCCAGCTATGGTGCCGGAGAGATCAGCTCCATTTAGCCAAATGTCTGAATCCTGAGACATGGTAGCATCTGCCCTGTCCCTCACTCCGAAGCTGGTCCAGTGCTGCTGGGGGTGATGGGATGCGGTGATGGACAGATGAGCTCAGGAGGCCACCTGCCTGCGTTCCTCATCTGTGAGCTGAGGATGATGACAGTCCTCACCTCACTGGGTACTGGGAGGCATTGAGGAGACACTTGCGTCCTGCTCTGAGCAGTTGCCCCCTCCGTGCTGTATCAGTGCTGCTCTGACCTCGCGTCATTCTGTGTGAGACCCTCATTCAGTGCCACAGCCCACTGCTGCTCAGAGCACGTCCCTGACCACATCAGGCTTATTTCCCAGCATAGCCACTGTTCTGTCAAACAGGTTTTGTGTGACTTTCCCTATGTCTGCAGCTTTCCCATGGGGACCATACTCTGTACTCATCCTCCTGGGTTTTTTCTTGCTATTCCCTCCTCCTAAGTGTAGCCCCAGTGTCATAGTCCTGAAGGTGGCTTCCCTAGCCTAGCGTGTGAGGCTTGCTGCAAATATGAACTCCATGTTGTTTGTGTCCTGGAATCCTTATTGTGGCAGTCTGGTGAATGTTTAATAGTCTGCTTGCTGTCTGGAGTGAAAAAGCCCTGATTTGTAATGTTTGCCAATTAGTGTGGTGTAAATACTCCCACCATGCTGGTTGCAGTCACCAACATGAGGTCATGCCTCTTGCAGGAGTCCAGGAAATGTGAGCTCACGTGAGCCGCTCCAGCACACCGCTCCCACGTGCCTCGTGTACAGGCTCTGGTCTCTGCCACTGCTCCCAAAAGCTCTTATGAAGTCACAGGGATTGGGCGGAAATGAGTACCTGATACTGGTGCTCATTTTTCTTGGCATACTGGGCACAGGTGGTGGCTCTCTCCACCAAGAAACACTTTTCTTCACTTGCCATTGACACCCCCTCTCCCTCCTTCCCCTCATGGCCACACCTTCCCGGTCCCCTTGCCATCTCTCATCTCCTGCTCATGGTGGGGGGTGCCTGTGCTCTTCCTCCTGCCCTCAGTGATCTCACCTGGGCTCTTGACTCTAAATACCATCTCACCAATCAGCCGGTGCTCCCAAGCATAAGGTCCCCAGCCCGAGCCCCAGGACTGAATATCCATCTTCACCAACAGTTTCAAATGGGTGCCGAACAGATGTGCCAAGCGCAATCACCCAAGCTGAGCTTCATTCTGGGACTTCACTTCTGTGACTTAGTCCCCTCTGTCTTCCCCGTCCTCCCTCAGTCTTCCCCATCTTCCCTCAGCCTTCCCCATCTTCCCTCAGTCTTCCCCATCTTCCCTCAGTCTTCCCCGTCATCCCTCAGTCTTCCCTGTTTTCCCTCAGTCTTCGTCATCCCTAAGAGTTCCCCGTCATCCCTCCGTCTTCCCCGTCATCCCTCAGTCTTCCCCATCTTCCCGCGGTCTTCCCCATCTTCCCTCGGTCTTCCCCATCTTCCCTCATTCTTCCCCATCTTCCCTCAGTCTTCCCCATCATCCCTCAGTCTTCCCCATCTTCCCTCATTCTTCCCCATCTTCCCTCAGTCTTCCCCATCTTCCCTCATTCTTCCCCATCA